TAAAAAAGGTTTATGAAATTATTAATGAGACAGCTCTTGCCGATCGTACAGCTCTTATAAATAATCGCAATAAGAACAGGGAACCTGATATAGAATACTTACCTTCACAACAAAATTTCATTAAGAACCCTTCTGCCGACCGACAAAAAAAAAGCTCCACGTTTTACCCATGATACAGTACTTGCAGACTTAACCATTCACATATATACATCAAAGAAACGCGGCCCTATAGCAAAATCACGATTGAAACGAATTCCTCATTCAGCCAAATTGTTGCAGACTAATCCTGATACTGACCAGCCAAATGACGAGAGCTCAAGAGATCAGACTTGAAAGCCTAGCTGAGGGACCGGGACTACTACCTTATAAACTTGGAACAGCGAGACTTACTGAACAATATCATACTTTCCTACAATACATACGACTAGACGAACTTGAAAATAATATCAACCTAGTACAGACTCAACTACAGACTTACCGATTTCGACTTCCCAATGACACCTTCTTGTTGTACGAACTCCAAATAGATTATCTTTCTAGTAAAATAAATAACGCACTAACCCAACTACAATCCTTAGAACCTGAAAATCGTGTTAAAAGAGGACTTATAGACGGATTAGGATCAGTAGTGAAAAGCATTACAGGAAATTTAGATCATTCAGACGCTATTCGATATAACACACTTATTAAAGAACTGCAGAATAACCAAAACAAGATTGTATCCGAATCCAATAGTCGAACGAGTCTTAATAAAGAATGGATGTTTAAATAATAATCCTTAACAAAATTGTCGTTAATCAAAGTAAGATAAATTCTACTTTAGAGTTATTACTAGAAAAGGATGCCTATAAACAAAGTAACTTAATAAAATACGCTAAATTTGCTCAATTATTAGATATACTTAGTGAAAACGTAGAAGATATTATAGTCGAATTAATGAGAGTAGAAAATATGTTAGCTTTGTATATATCCGAGTTGGGACCACACACCATTCCATGATTACTGTAAACGTACTAAAAACTATGTTAAATAAATTTGAGAAACTATACAATAAGGAGCAGATTTTAAATGTAGCATATAGAGATTATTACGACGTTATTAAATCAGGTTATTATTATCTAGGGAAACAAGTAGTTGTAATTTTCAAATTCCCCATAGTTTCTAAAGAAGAATTTAGTTTTTATAGACTATCCCTAGTCCCAAACAAGGACCAACAAATCCTTATACCACCCTTTCCTTTCATGGCAACTAACGAGAAATCATTCGTGTACATGGAGGCTGAATGCCCGAAGTTGAGTTCCTGGTACCTCTGCGAACGAAAGATAAGTACTCAGCTCCGTGCGCAACCGGACTGCATACAGAAGCTCATCACAACGCAGACGCTTAGCGAATCCTGCCAGTTCACTACTGTCTCCTTAGCCAAGGAAGCCCTAGAGAAGCTCGACGATCAACACTACGTGATATCGTTCCCACATTCAACAAGGGTACAATCGACCTGCAGTAGCCAAGACACCACATCCCTACAAGGTAGTTACCTAATCAAGATCCCATTAAAGTGCTACCTGAAGACAGCTGAATTCACCATCATCAACGAGAATGATGAGATCAACGGCCAGCCTCTGAAGCTCATGAAGATCCCCTACAGCAATGCAAGTACTATGAAACCGCAACACCTTAAATTGGACTCTATAGATTTGCAAAGGCTACACAGCATCCAGAATAGAATCATGACGGAACCAAATCTACAACTGGAACAGACACAGGAAGAAGCTCTATATCATACGACAATCCCTTTTTACGTCGTGATCCTCTTAAGCAGCATCGTTTTAATCGCAGTCTTTATGAGTCGAAGACTTAAAATCTGGAACTACAAGGAATCTGATGACCAAACCTCAAATACCAAGGAGCATACTTACGAAGATCCTGAAGCAGCTAAGAAGACAAGATAGGATAATTCCATGCCAGCGACATTTTCTCTGAAAGTCCTAAAATAGTCGCTGATCTCGGGGTGGAGGAATTACGTAAATGGACGGAAGGAAGATCGCTTACGTAGCAACCGCGGCTTATGACGATGCACCGACACCAAGGCCAAGCTGCCACGAGTTGCCGACGCTGCATTCCCATACTGTTCAATTAATTAATATTTCGAAGGCATTCTGGTTCCGACCTCGAACCGATCATTAGGTTATTTAGACGTAATTTTGACATGTAAATTTTTCCTTTCTATTAAACTTATATAAAAATAATTGTTTTTTTTTTCGATCCTCCGGCTGTAATAAACGTAATTAGCCTAGCCCCAAAGTAAACACTATAAAGCTTGTGTTATGGGATACTAGAGTAACGGACAGAATACATATACTTTACATATATAAGTATATTTATATAGAAATACATATTAAACATCCATGACTGGAGTACAAATGCTCGTGTTCATCACACAAACATCTGCCCCCACCGGGATTCGAACCCGGGACCACTCGAGTCGGCGACGCCATGAAACCCGGCGTACAAACCACTCGGCCACGGAGGTGTATACCCATATACAACCGAATACATCTTGCGTCAGTGCGTTAGGGGGGAGAGAATAATGCAGTTGTTAAACACAAAAATAATATTGTCATCTTATCACAGTGGTCATGATTCGCTGATGCTGATGTGCTTCGGCTACGATCGTTGAAGTTAAGCAACCTTCGCAGTGGTCGCTCACTGGATGGGTGACCAAAATGTACTACCGCGAACTCTTCCGTGCTTCGGAAGATACGTTAAGCCGTTGGTTCTGGCTGCATCTGCAGTCGTTAGCACCCGCCAATCCGCACAAGGCCCGCGTAGTGGGTCACGGCCAGCCTCTCTATTCCATTCGTAAGGAAGGACTGTGCCTCAGCAGTAGGGACATTGATAGCTGCTGATGAGTCGTCGAACCATAAATCTTAGATTAAAACAAAAACGGTAGATACGGCACTAGCCTCACAAAAGTGATCCGCATAAATTGTGGTCCACGACCCTAATCGCTTTAGTCACAACTTGACATGCAAACGACGTACATGTGAACGCCAAAAAGAAATAATGCTAATATTTTGTGTTTATATGATAAAACAATGCCTGTGTGTTTTTAAAAAGTGCTCAAATTGCTCAAGAACTAAAAATAAAGCCCACGGCATCACTTTTCATTCGTAAGTACTATAAAATATAATTTTTCATAAAAATTGCTGTTTGTTTTGAATCTTATTCGGTAGTGACGTCGAGTACTGGTCGCGTGATTGGTCGGTAGTACAGTGACGCGGATTTCGGCGTCTCGTTCGCGCTGTGGTTGAAACTTAACGTGCTGTTTCGTTCGCGTCGATAATGCAGTGACGCGGATCTCGGCGTCTCGTTCGCGCTGTGGTTGAAACTTAACGTGCTGTTTCGTTCGGGTCGGTAATGCAGTGACGCGGATCTCGGCGTCTCGTTCGCGCTGTGGTTGAAACTTAACGTGCTGTTTCGTTCGGGTCGGTAATGCAGTGACGCGGATCTCGGCGTCTCGTTCGCGCTGTGGTTGAAACTTAACGTGCTGTTTCGTTCGGGTCGGTAATGCAGTGACGCGGATCTCGGCGTCTCGTTCGCGCTGTGGTTGAAACTTAACGTGCTGTTTCGTTCGGATCGGTAATGCAGTGACGCGGATCTCGGCGTCTCGTTCGCGCTGTGGTTGAAACTTAACGTGCTGTTTCGTTCGGATCGGTAATGCAGTGACGCGGATCTCGCCGTCTCGTCCGCGCTGTGGTTGAAACTTAACGTGCTGTTTCGCTCGGGTCGGTAATGCAGTGACGCGGATCTCGCCGTCCCGTTCGCGCTGCCGTGGGATCAGTTTTTGTTTGATGCAAGTATGAGCGTACCGTATCTACCCTTTTTGTTTTAATCTAATACCATAATAGCATAAGAACCGTGATATGATGTATTATTATTATTTCAGACTTTTGGGGCTATGCAGTCCTATAAGAACTGTAGGCACAGCAACTTCGAAGATCTATTGTCACTCGGGGCCATCTTAAAGTATTTCTTTTAGCCGGACAGCTTCACTTCAGTACCCCTGGCACAAAACAATATCGAATTCGAATAATTTGCGAGTTCGAAATGTCATTGTCAAATTTTGTATGGAAACTTGGACAGCAGCGCCCCAACGGACGTAGCGAGAACTAAAATTCAGTACACATTTGACAATGACATTTCGCACAACTATTCGAATTCGATATTGATTCATGCTAAGGGTATAGAAAGTTGAACTTTTAGAGATTTGATTTCCTCTGGGCATTTTATATGTGGTCCCAGATAAACACTACGTTTGTGAATAAGAGCCGTATATTCACATATAGACAATCTGAGAGAATATTTTTTTTTATAAATATAAATATTTCCAACACACACCAATTAGCCTAGCCCCAAAGTAAGCACTGTAAGGCTTGTGTTATCGGACACTAGGGTAACGGTAGAATACATATACAGTACATATATAAGTATATTTATACTAGCTGTAACAGCGAACTTCGTACCGCCATAAATAAAATAGGGGTTGGTGGTGGAAAGGTGAAAATTCAGAGTTATATGTATTTACTGATGATATCATAAAAAGAAAAAAAAATAAATATCTAAAATTTAAAAAAAAAAATTCGGGGTGGATTACCCTTAACATTTAGGGGGATGAAAAAAAGATTACATCCGATTCTCAGACCTACTGAATATGCATATAAAATTTCACGAAAATCGGTGGAGCCGTTTCGGAGGAGTTTAACCACAAACACCGCGACACAAGAATTTTATATATTAGATAGAAATACATTATTAAACATCCATGACTGGAGTACAAATGCTCGTATTCATCACACAGACATCTGCCCCCACCGGGATTCGAACCCGGGACCTCTCGAGTCGGCGACACCACGAAACCCGGCGTACAAACCACTAGGCCACGGAGGTCGTCAAAAGAATAGATAGGAATACGATGAACATATTATTAGAGTACGACTTACGTCTTCTGAGGGCGCCACTTGACGTGTCCCACGGATGCGATTGTGTAGATGGTGTGCTCCAGGTTAGGCTTCGCGTGGATGTCCCATACCTTCAACAAACATTCTCATGTTTGTCTCAATCAAAAGAAAATATTACTAGATAAAATTCCCCGCGGACCAGGCAGCGGACGGGACTCGAACCCGCACCCTTCGCTATCCGGGCGAATGCACTTGGTATGGTAGTATTGTGGCGGCGACATCTATATGCCCCACATATAGACAACGGATGGAGGAAATCATTACTCACCATCCTCAAGAGATGGCGTTACCTGCACTGCGATCATAATAGTATGGAAGCCTACATCGCGCAAATGAAATTCGGAGGCTAACTCTTCATATATACGATGCCCGACCAACATCAGTCGGGCCGCGGCCCCCGAGCTACCATCACCCAGCTCGGAGGAAGATCTTCACCTTTGGCCTTCCTACAGTATGGTATGGTAACACTAGTGGCGTTCTGTCGAGAAATAATCAAAAAAGTGGCGTGTCGCGATCCGATACTGTAAGTGTTGTGTGTCGAGAACAGTTTCGAGTGAATAGTGAGAATGTGAACAGTGGTACGGGTATCGAACGCAATAAAAGACTTCGTCGGAGGGTAGACCGATATGTCTGCCAATAACAGCCTACCCGCAATTACTTCAGTTACTCCGTGATCATGGCGCTTGCAACAGTGCCGAAATATCGGAAACTCGCTAAAAACAAGGTACATGGTAACAATTCCGTAAATAACTTATATTACTATATTGCTTATGTATGTAGTTGAGTCGTATCATATTTTATTTGATGCTAGTATGAGCGTACCGTATCTTCCCTTTATGTTTTAATTTAAGACAAGCCACGATATTAAATAAACTAAAGACACCACGTGCGCTCAAAATCCCAATCAAGAAGTGCTTGAACACCACTCAAGCATTTGTTGGTTCACAGTCACGCGCGGACCGTTGAAAAGTCAAGATGCCGCAGAACTCCGTGAAAATATGAGAAAAAAAAATGGTTGCCTGTAAAGTCGGTTTTACGGGCGAAGATTTTACGTGACAACGTCTTTTTCTCGGTAGAATATTTATTGATATGAATATAATTAAATTGCACAATAGGAACAAGGAATTGAATGAAAATAAGAATTGCACAAATTTTAACTATAGAAATATATTTTGTTTACTAAAACATTGTACATGTAAACTTAAACTCATCGTAACGTTACCGAGCGTTACACTTTTTCATAAGTGACTCCCAGCCGCAACCTAATTTAAGACGTTGTCACGTCAAAAATGTACATGTAAATAGTACGTTAAGTGTCGTTCTCGACAGTTATCGAATCAATGTTTGTTAATTTAACGCATTTGAAGCAAATTTTGATCTAATACTGACTATAAACTGATTTAATAGCAAATATTTTGTGAAATTCAAATGCATGGCCGGTTATATAGCCGTCTCTTTTCCTCGCGGTCAAAACTTGCTATATAGCTTACAGCGGATATAGATTTGCGAGTAGAATCAAAGAAATAAGGTCCATATTCTTCAGCATATAGCAATAAGTCGCAAAATTTTAAGAGCTTGCATTTTGAACTTTACTGCCATAACTCTTTGACGCATGCGTTTTAATAAAGACCTTATACAGTATGAATTAAAGGTGATTTTCAATGTTTAAATATGTCTTATATTGTTTTTGATACGCAATCATATTACGGAGCTCCGTGGAACGTCCAATGTACCTTTTGTTGTATCTAGGGTAAACAGGGTGAAATTGAATGTTTCAATGAAACTTCGTGAGATTGTTGGGTTATGTGTATAGAGTATCCCTGATTTTTTTCGGATTTTTTTATAATTATTTTTTTCGTTTTTTATTTTTTTTAATTGCGCATTTTTGTGTCCTTTCCTCTTTTGAGTAATAATTATTTTTAAACACGTATTCATAGTATGTGAAATATAACAAATAAATAAGCACTACTAAAATAAACGAATAAAATAGTGGATGCGGCCAGGCGAGGTCGACGGACGCCGGCCGCCTGTATAGGTACCTACCGCGCACAGCTGACGCGGCGCGTATCTACTGTACAGTACAGTAAAATCGTCAAAGGCAATTAATACGAAAGGCAAAAAATACAAAACAGCATCTCAAGATCGCTCTCAGAGTTGAGAGCGTTCTATTCATACGGGCCTTAGATGCCATATTACAATAACAGATTTATTTAAATAAAGAACAAGTGTTATCTTCTCATTAGCAGAGAAAAATACCTAAAAAGTTAATAATAATTTATAACTAGGTATTAGACAGTACTTACGAGACCGGCGATGTAGGTAGGTACAACGAGGAACGAGGAACATATTCATTTTTTTCACTAGAATATTTTATCAAATCAATCACACTGGTAGTACACTAATTAGTTGTTTCAAATCAAAAAGTATTTACACTAGCAATAAAAAGAGACTTAAATTGTTGCTGTAAACCACCATTTTGCTGCAAACAAAGGTAGGCACGTTTGCGGACGTGTCTTTTCACCTTTTTTAAAGTGTCCCTATCACTACTCAAAATGCAACTTCTATGGTTTGGGGACTCATTCGTAAACCAAACCTACTTCGTCACACTCGCGATAGCAGTACACCATCTCTAAATATTCTTGGTTTGTATACCGAGGCATAATGAAATTATCACAGTGTATGTCACTAAGTCAAAAAATGCGCACGCCCACGCGCGATTGATATTCTTGCGACTGCACTTTGCATGCAATCTAAGCAAACCACCGCACGCGGGGAAGAGGGGAGGTGGGCGGAAATCGGAATTCACATCATCAAAGACGCCGCAACCGGCGCTAGGGCTGCATGTTTCTTGCCAGCGTGCGGCGCGCCGCCCGCCCGTGTTTGCCGCAAAACAACATATTATTATGTGTGTGTGTGTGTGTGTGTGTGTGTGTGTGTGTGTGTGTGTGTGACTGTGGCTGTGATTAAATGTGTTCGGAATTTCATGACGTGGGCAAATCAGACACGAAGAGTTCCTTCCTTCACTAAGCTTGTAAGTTATACCGATAAAATTTTAAATAAGCCGTTTGTTCTTAAGTTTTAATTAAACGAAGCAACTAACATTAACAATAAAAAAGAAGTTCTTACACTAACAGACAGGCTTTACCGATTTAAAATCGTGACAGTCATATTAACTTTATAGGATTTTTAATTGCTCTAACAGAAGATTTATTTTATTGATTAATTACCTGTGCTTTATGAAATAATATTCAAAGGTATTGTGTATCAGTGAATAAATAATTATAATATAGCATCTACGACTATTTTATTGTAATGTTTTTAAATAGTATGGAATCAAATAGGAAAGTAGGTAAGCGCCGAGTCATCTGTGCGTGTAGTAGGCGGCGGCCGCCTGTGTAGGTACACAGGCGGCCGCCGCCGGTCGTCGCCCTGGCCGGCGATCTCGACTGGAGGCATTCATTAAGTTTCCCTTTTTTTAGGAGTGCTTAATTTAAGTTGTTTTACAACTTCTATGTAGACGTGTTTAAAATGAATAATTACTCATAAGGAAGAAATGACAAAAAAATAACCAAATAAAAAAATAAAAAACGAAAAAAATTATTTTAAAAAATGCGAAAAAAAAACAGGCATACTCTATACACATAACCCAACAATCTCACGAAGTTTCATAGAAACATTCAATTTCACCCTATATAATATCGCTGTATACTAGCTGGAGGAGCTCGATGGCGCAGGTGGTTAGCGCGTTCGGCTGCGATCGTTGAAGTTAAGCAACTTTCGCAGTGGTCGGTCATTGTATGGGTGGCCAAAAATCTTCTATCTCGAGTTCCTCCGTGCTTCGGAAGGCACGTTAAGCCGTTGGTCCCGGCTGCATCTGCAGTCGTTAGCACCCGCTAATCCGCACTGGGCCCGCGTGGTGGGTCATGGCCCAATTTCCCTATTCCATCCTTGGGAAGGCCTGTGCCCCAGCAGTGGGGACATTTATAGGCTGATGATGATGATGATGATGATGATGATACTAGCTGTTTACTGAATTGTTCAGTAAGTAAAAAGTAGATTTATTCGTTGATGATATATAATATTTGACAAATAACGAAAAATAGATTATTCGTTCGTGAGGTCGGCATCCTAAACGGCGTGCACTAGACAGTGTTATCTTGTCGCGATAAGTGTGACCCACAGCGGTGCGGTGGTTACTAACGGCGGGCTGCGATACGATCACGCGTCTGGGCGGCTCGCGCGACTGGTACATACTCATTATCTTGTCTGATATAATCTGCTACTACTGTTGTAATAATATTTTCTAAATTCGGATAATTCTTTTTTTGGTCGATCATGAATTAGTTTATACAGTATTTGGAACATTAACTTATGACGTATATTGTTTTCAATTTTAATTGTCACTAACATTATAGTTATTAACGGGATTGTTACCATGTACCTTGTTTTTTATGAGTCTCCGATATTTTGGCACTGTTGCAAGCGCCATGATCACATATCTTACTGATGTTTATATCTTTATTAAAGGAATTTGTGTTTCTTACATTGATTGTATTTAAGACATTTTTCATTTTAGGAAAAAAAATCACGTCTGTTGTATGTCCCTTCAATATTTATTTTAATTTCATTGTTTATTTTTAAAGTGATTTTACAACTAAACATTCTGTGAATATTTCAAGTGTCTGTTGTCATAGTCAATGTAGAGCAAGAAACGGCAAAAATACATGTTTGTTGTATGGGAGCAGAGACAGATAGACGGACAGCGGAGTTTAGTAACACGGTCCACGGTAATCCTAAATATTATGTGTATCTTACAAATCTATTTCTAATTACCATATTTTCAGACACAAATAATAACACACATAACCGGAATCAAAAACTTCACAAGCATTCTCATCTCCTGACTCCCAAACATGAACTTCGACAGGACTGGTATTTTGTTCTTACGTTAATAACACATTTTTACCTTAATATACGACTCTTTAACTAATAATAAATATATACAAATCAAAGCAACTAAAACAAAATAACAGTGCTTTGAATATTTCACCTTAATAGTCTTGTCTCTTGAAGCGGTTGCCAGCCAAGGCATCTCGGGGTGCCAGTCGCAGGCGAACACTGGCCCAGAGTGCGCTGTGAACTGCTGCAGGCAACGTTCGTGCCGGCGCACGTCCCACAGCTGCGCGCTGCCGTTCTCCGACACGGCAGCGAATACGTGCGCCTGGTGCGGACTGAACTGCACGTCCCGGATTGATTCTGTGTTGCTGATACAACACGGACACTCCATCATTTCAGTGTATGCTATTATTATTTCGAGGAAATATTAAAGAATAAGAACACTATAATGCCAATCAAACGTAAAGTATTCAACATGTGCATCCTACCAATACTTACCTACGGGTGTCAAACTTGGGGCCTGACAAAGGCGCACAGTCAAAAACTCAAGGTATGTCAGTAGGGGATAGAGAGAAGCATGCTGCACATCCGTTTGAAAGACAAGTGGAGACTGAGCAGAATTAGAAAAATCACAGGTGTGGCAGATGTTTCCAAAAAAATAAGGAGACTTAAATGGGGTTGGTTTGGACATGTGATCAGATCCCCCAAAGAAAAATGGACCAAAGAGGTCGTAACTTGGTACCCCAGAGATGGGAGGAGGACAAGAGGGCGGCCACAGAGAAGATGGGAGGATGACCTTACCACAAGGATGGCGCAGATTAGCAAGAGATCGGAAAAAATGGAAAATTATAGACGAGGCCTATGTCCGAGGAGGACAACCTGATTAAAATAGTGCTAGTGTTACCAATTTTCTTTTATTAGTGTAAGCAATGTAAAATTAAATTAAATTGTAGCAATAGGAAATTAGTAATACGGCTAGTTAGTAAGTAGTATAACTATATCAGAGAATAAAGGCTAATTTTATTTATTTTATTATTATTTCAGAATTATGGGGCTATGCACTCCTAATGGAGCTGTAATGTATGCTTGCAATAATGATATTTTTTGGCTTATTCCAAATACTAGCACTACTTGATTGTTTTATTTCAGAAATTTGATTAAATTCGGTAGGGTTAAAGTTTGTTAAAAAATTAGCCTCATCAATATTAATTTAATAATGTCCTCTGGCATGCTATTCTAGTGCTATTGATACAAAATCACTATGTTATAAACGCTAAGTAATATAACGAAGATTATGATACTAAATTAAAAATATATATTTATGCTTTTCATTGGTAAAATATAGGACTTTAGACTGTACTGAATTTTAGACAAACTATTAAACAATTTTAGACATACTTGAAGTATTATCCGCATAACTGACATGAACAATAAATTCTAAACACATTTACAGCTAATTTAAGTAAATCTTCAGTTGAGCGGAAACAGGTTATCTTTTTAAATCATGCAAGATATATATTATACTGCTTCCTATGATTTAATTTAATTATTGTATAAATTAATAATTTATTATTTTAACATTTAATAGATGATGGTATGTTCATTGTTTCATATTAGTGGCCATTCAAGTATTACCTAAGCAGATTTATTAAAATTATTTACGCCATCCTCCCCCTTGTCAGCAAAAGAAAGCAAAGCTCTTACCACCCTTCCCCCCATGCTTACGTAAACATTGGTACCTATATGCATTTTACCTTTAGTGTATTCTGTTTTTTTATTGATACATAAGCTGTCATGAGCTTCATGAGCAGCAATACTTAAATAGGCTTGGGATAGAGAACTTCAACGCACATAATATTCATTTAAACAAACTTTCTCGACACAGTATTCAACATAGAGTAAGGCACAAATTTTATAATCTTATTAAGTACTATTACGAACCAAACAAACTTATTTCGAATTTTTGGTATACATATTAATTCCAATTAACTGTCATCAGTCCATGGCACCCAAATCTATGATGCTGATGTAATCAATATCTCTATCTTCAAAAATAAGCAAAGTAAAGACCCCCCTGCCCCCCTATAGTTCTTACGTAATACTTGAATGCGGCCTTTATATTAATACAAATGTATTATTTCAAAGCAGTGTTTAAACTGTAGTCCAATATTATTATGGATAAAACCATTTATAAACATTTCACTTCAACTTTCCAAACATCTGTATGTAATGCAATTTAATCAGCAAATGGAGTGTTTTTTATTAAACATAAACAACTCTAATATCATGCTAACCCAAATAGTAAGCTATTAAAGTGATAACATTATCAGTTGCGGAAAATGGCAGCAAACCTGATGAACGTCCGGGCTACCTCCTTCATGCGGAGGTCAAAACACTTCATCATGCCATCCTGCGAGCCCGAGATGAGCAGGGATGGGTCTGTCAGGTGGAAGCTCACCTGAATAGACAATATACTTAATAGGATTAAGAAGAAAAACAATATTTATCAAATTCTGTATTCATCATCATCATCAGCCTATTAATGTCCCCACTGTTGGGGCACAGGCCTTCCCTATGGATGGATTAGGGAGATTGGGCCATGACCCACCATGCGGGCCCAGTGCGGGTTGGTGGCTTAATGTGCCTTCCAAAGCACAAAGGAGCTCGAGATAGTAAATTTTTGGTCACCCATCCAATGACCGACCACTGCGAAAGTTGCTCAACTTCAACGACCGCAGCCGAACGCGGCGCTATCGAGCTCCTCTCAATTCTCTATTATGAATGCACATACTAAAATATGAATCTTTCTGTTAAAAAACATTGTAATGTGCTGTATATAAATACCTTGTTTACTGTCCTCTTGTGGTCAGAAAAGACATGTTCCTGCTTGGAACGTCCAGAGCGTCCAAGGTTCCACACTACTACTGCACCATTGGTTGCAGCAGTGGCCAAAGTATTTTCTAATAAATAAAAAAATAATAATTGTATGATAGTTAATCTCTTTTGAACTTTAAAATATCTCATTTGATCTACTATATGATTTTGTTTTCTTTTTAAAAGAGAACATAAATAATACCTTCTATAGTGCTCCATGCAACGTCAATTGAAGAAAAATTTAAATTCAAGTTCTTTCCAACCCTTAGATTACATACTTCAGAGAATTCAGTTTCACCTAAGGAAAACACCTTGAAAACTGAAACAGAACGTTAAGAATATAAATAAGACAGCTGAAAACGAAACAGACACTTAAATTCAGTTAAATTATTAAATATAGGTACCATTTCTTCCAGCTATTACAACTTGTGTGCAGTCTTTATTTAGTGCCAAAGCATTTGCAGGTCCCTCCTGGGATACACATATAGTATTTGCAGGAATCATTGCGGGAAATAACACTATATTGCTACTTCTTCAGACTTATGCCATAACAACTGTAAATTGGTTATGTAGGTTCATAATAATAACTTTACTATAATTTTATCATTTTTCGGTTTAGATTAATCGGAATATTACTATATTAATCTACAATATAGGTATGTTATTATTGTACAATGGTAACAATGTTACGTTATACAAAGAAAATGTTGTTTGTTTTCCCGAGCAACTTTTAAGATTTTGTGGTTTGGCTTTTGGCCCAAAAGGAATAACTGTCATAATCTGTCAGTGTCAAAAGCTATTTAAACGTTTTAACTAGAGTAGGCCTAGCGCACACACCGCGTTTCTTGCTGTTGAACTTTCCGTTATCCATGCAGCCATTCGTGTAAGCCCATTTTTGGTGTCGACTCTGGCATGAATATCTAAACCTAAATTTTAAATTTGACAACAGTGTATCCTTGACATTCCCTATACATAATAAAAAGGAGAGACTAATGTTAAATTAAGTTTTAAGTTTAGAGAATCATGTCAGAATGGGCACCCATGTATTATAGCCACCCATGTATATACCTTACGGCAGCAGTGCGCGCACTACATTTTGCTGTCAAATTTGTCATTTTCATTGTCATTAATGTCACTTTATCAACTGTCAATTAAAAATGTCATTTTTTGTGGAAAAAAATCCAAATATTTCTAAAATTGGATTATTTTTTCTAATATTACACAATAACAGAGAAATGTAAATACAGTAGTGAACTTTTTTAAGCTTTAAAACGGTTAACGTCCCGTTGTTTTAACTTCCCTTACAAAGAATGGAAAGTGGGGACAGGATCTTAGTGGCTGCTGGGTTAACTGCGGCTGTTGTGGTCGGAGCCTTTGTGTTATGGGGTCCCGGAGGAGCGCCCCGGGTGCGGAAGCGCCGGGGGCAGATCGCGGGCTTACAGAATTTAGGAAGAACCTGTTTTTTGAATACATTGCTGCAGGCCTTGGCTGCTTGTCCCACATTCATTGAGTGGCTCAAGAAGTATGCTAAGGCTGACGGTCATAATAGTATGATAACTACCTTGTATACAGTAATAGAAGGTTTGTATATCAATATACTTCGAAGTATTCGGTAACACTTTATTGTAGGCAACTTCAAATAAATTAACAAAAATGCAAGCTTTCAAGACAGGTTATTTATTTATTATGTTCTGAATCCAAATTGTATTTATTTATTTATAGCCTAATTTGCAGACAAATATTATTAATATTTAACCTAATTTTATTTTCTCTTTTTTTTTATATATTTAGTGTGGCCACATAAGCCTCCTCCAGCCCTTTCCATTCCTTGCAATCTTTAGCAAGTCTTTTTGGCTATAAGATCATAATCAAAACTATATACTGTGTGTTATCTGATGATCTGTTAGTGGATGATATCTCTTAAACCATAATGGGAAGAGTGATATTTCAACAGAATATAGATCTTTATTGATATATTGACATCAGCAACATATTATTTATAAATGGATGTTCTTCAACTTAATGTTAAACAGGTATTAATGGTGTGGAACCCTTTGTGTGTTAATTTGTCTCACACATTTGCTTTTTCTTACCTACTTAATAAATAATGGAAATATTATAATGACTTGCTAAAAAATTTTTTTTTCACAATGATGTCCAACCTATTATTTAATAAAAATAGATTGAGTGTAGTGTATATACAATATTATATTCTAGTCTCCCATCATTTTATTGTCAACATTTTATCTTTATTTCATCTATGTTGTAGACCAGAATGGAGAAATGGGTAAAAAAAAATTGTGTGTGTCAGCTCCGACGCACGACTGGAGTTTACTTCTTAAGTTCGATAGTCTAACCAGATGCAAAAAGAGTTTATTTAACTTAAAAAAGATTGATACTGTATGAAAGGGTAAATTAACAAATTAATGAAAATAATATACATATATAAATATATATTTATTCATTTCATATACATTTATTATAACTAATCGACGAAATATTTTACATAAAACTTTTAACAATAGTCAATTTCAGATGTGCATAAATAAAGGTACGTTACGATACTGTGCTACGGTGTAGCACTATGGCTGCTACAGCGTAGACAGTAAAAACGTAACGAGGTCATTCATCGATAGATTTCACTCCTCATATTTTTCTCATCCCTTATATATGCAAATTGATTCTTAAGGAGTAAACTCCTAAAATCACTAAACATTTTTATTAGCAATGAAACACTGTGTATTTTGCTGTGTCTCAACATTATTTACTGTGACCTGTATGTTTCACTACTATTGGTTAACAAATATAATTTGTTTCAACTGCCAGTGGTAAATGGAACTCACGAATCAGCACGAGGCACTCCTGTGTGCCCACTGGGAGTGCTCCAAGCGTTACGGGCAGCAGGGTGGGTGGTGCCTGCCGACCAGCAAGATGCACATGAGCTTCTGCATGTGCTACTGTCTTGCATTGAAGAAGAAACCACTGCTATGTCTAGAAAGGTAAATGTTTGTGAACTTCATCTTCCACTATCATCATTAGCCTAGTTATTTATGCATCAGAAAACTAGGCCACAAATGAAAGGTAAAATTGATATATGAAAGAAAAGAGATACCGTAGATACTAAGTAATGAGCAGTATTTCAATGAGTCATACATCTTGAGTACTAATATTCACCGCATTAATAAAGTTTGATCTGTGATTTGAATCTACAATTATTCAGCATAAGACATTATCCCTCCGTTACATGAAGTTATCAGAACACAGTACTTATAAAAAGTTTTTGTTCCTCAACTAGCCGGGTTGCCTATCAGACGCTCTGGGTCTAGGCGGGGGCCGCGCGTGGTCGGCGCTGGCGTCCCCCGCGTCCCCCCCGGCGATGTCCCTGTCGGCCCGCGACAACTCCCCGCCCCAGCCCGCCCGCCCCGCGCGACCCGCCTCTGCCGCGCCAGGGGACGAACCCGACCTAGTTGAACCAGGTGGGTAATATATAAATCATACTAGATCGGCCTTGAAAGTAACAACATCTTTCCTAATTCATGTATAAACTGTTTTTATAAACTGCATTGTGATATTGATGAATTCTAGTTTATTGCAGTAATAAGTTCTTAATTGCTTGAATACATAAACGCATTTCAGTTCCAAGTCCTATAGTTCTGTTTTTCTAACTCTAAGAACCATTATAATATTTGCAATTTTTATATGACTCACTGCTGGTTATAATGTGCGTCATTGAGAGGGTGGGGTGTTGTGTAGAGACTCAGCCGGCGCGGCTGACTAAGGGCGTGTCTCGGTCGCTGTGCCACCTGAGCAGCATGGGTCGGCAGTTATAATGTGCGTCATTGAGAGGGTGGGGTGTTGTGTAGAGACTCAGCCGGCGCGGCTGACTAAGGGCGTGTCTCGGTCGCTGTGCCACCTGAGCAGCATGGGTCGGCAGTTATAATGTGCGTCATTGAGAGGGTGGGGTGTTGTGTAGAGACTCAGCCGGCGCGGCTGACTAAGGGCGTGTCTCGGTCGCTGTGCCACCTGAGCAGCATGGGCGGCAGTTATAATGTGCGTCATTGAGAGGGTGGGGTGTTGTGTAGAGACTCAGCCGGCGCGGCTGACTAAGGGCGTGTCTCGGTCGCTGTGCCACCTGAGCAGCATGGGTCGGCAGTTATAATGTGCGTCATTGAGAGGGTGGGGTGTTGTGTAGAGGCTCAGCCGGCGCGGCTGACTAAGGGCGTGTCTCGGTCGCTGTGCCACCTGAGCAGCATGGGTCGGCAGTTATAATGTGCGTCATTGAGAGGGTGGGGTGTTGTGTAGAGGCTCAGCCGGCGCGGCTGACTAAGGGCGTGTCTCGGTCGCTGTGCCACCTGAGCAGCATGGGTCGGCAGTTATAATGTGCGTCATTGAGAGGGTGGGGTGTTGTGTAGAGACTCAGCCGGCGCGGCTGACTAAGGGCGTGTCTCGGTCGCTGTGCCACCTGAGCAGCATGGGTCGGCAGTTATAATGTGCGTCATTGAGAGGGTGGGGTGTTGTGTAGAGACTCAGCCGGCGCGGCTGACTAAGGGCGTGTCTCGGTCGCTGTGCCACCTGAGCAGCATGGGTCGGCAGTTATAATGTGCGTCATTGAGAGGGTGGGGTGTTGTGTAGAGACTCAGCCGGCGCGGCTGACTAAGGGCGTGTCTCGGTCGCTGTGCCACCTGAGCAGCATGGGTCGGCAGTTATAATGTGCGTCATTGAGAGGGTGGGGTGTTGTTACTTGTTACTTGTTGTGGGCCCCCGTTTCCGCACGTAGACTCCGTACTTGGTCCATTGTGCGTGCAGGGTGTGTTGGGCTAGCTAGCTCAGCCAGCCCAGCTCCTTCCAGAAGCGCAGTAGCCTCCTGGGGCTCTCACAGGCTTCTAGGAGCGTCCTCGGCTTCCTGAGGATTGATGCCCGGTGTTCTGCAACGCTCGTGCATTCCAGGATCACATGAGCGGCCGTTTCATCTGCTTCCAGACATCCTCTGCATAGAGAGCTATCTGTAACGCGTATGGTTAGTAAATGCTTGTTAAGTGGGCAGTGCCCTGTTATGGTGCCTAGCATTACTCGGAGATCATTTCGGTTAAGATTTAGTAGTTTCCTAGTTAGTCTGGGGTTGAGGTTGGGAAGAATATCCTTAGATTGCCTGCAGCCCTCGGTATTCGCCCAACGGGTGTTATGGTTCTGTGTGGTTCGTTGCCGCATCCATGTACGAAACTGATTGAAGGGTAATGGCAGAAGTGGCTCAGGGCCTTCCACTTTCTGTGATGATCCCCTTCTAGCTAGTTCGTCGGCTGCGTCATTACCCACAGAACCGCTATGTCCCTTGATCCATTGGAGGATAACCTTGTTATCCGTTGCTATGTGCTCCAATGCCAGGTGACATTCGTATACTAGCCCAGAAGTTTTGCTGTTACTATCTAGGGCTCTTAGGACAGCCATACTATCAGATAATATACGTATCTTGTAGTTTTTGACTTTCCTATTAATGACAGCGGTGGCGGCCTGAGTAATGGCTATACATTCACATTGAAATATTGAGCTGTAATCACCCAGTGCTGTTGATATATGGATGTTAAGGTCCAGTGAGAAGACTCCTGCGCCTGATCCGAATCCTGGTATTTTGGATCCATCAGTGTAAATGCGTAGTTCGTCTGTGCCCGACCAGTCCTTGTTGGTTTCTAGTAGTTCTATTTGATATCTTCTATCAAATGTATGAGTAGTCGGGATTTTATCACAGCGGGCTGTTACCATAGGTTGGTATTGTATAGCCCTTTCCAGAATTCTGGAGTGAGGTCCCTGGTTTACCGTCCACAAGCCCAGATGGTACATTCTTAGCGCTGCCATAGTTGCTTCCTGTTGTATAAACAGGTCGAGTGGCGGGATGTCGAGCGCTATTTCTAGGGCATTTGTAGGTGTAGATTTCATGCAGCCTGTTATAGCAGAGCAAGCTAGTCTTTGAAAACGCTGCAGTTTATTAATTGCGGTGTTTAGTTCAGTTCTAGGCCACCAAACTATTGCACCGTAGGTGATGAGTGGTCTGATTATGGTTGTGTAAAGCCATTTTGTGATTTTTGGTGCAAGACCCCAGGTTTTACCAAGTAATCTTTTGCATTGCCAAAACGTGATACAGGCTTTGTTTATCTTTTGGTCTAAGTGGTTGTTCCATGTTAGCTTATGATCAAGAACTATGCCTAGATATTTGACCTCGCTTGACATAGACAGTTCGGTTTTAAATAACTTGGGCAATTTAACGGTATCCAAGTTACGTTTTTTCGTGAACATGACCATCTCTGTTTTGGTCGGGTTCACCGATAGTTGGTGTTTAGTACACCATGTTTCAACTATTTTGAGAGCGTTACTCATTAAGTTGCACAGCACATTCTGGAATGGCCCGCTTATGAGGATAACTAGGTCGTCCGCATAGCCGACTGTGTAGTAGTTGCGTTGATTGAGTTGGCAAATTAATTCGTCAACCACAATGTTCCACAGGAGAGGGGATAAAACGCCTCCCTGTGGGCAACCCCGTGCCACTACAGCTCTCTTCGTAGTGTTCACAGTCACTTGTATTGCTCTGTATTTTAGCATGTTGTTGATCCACCCCGCAGTCGTGGGGTCAACTCCATGTCTGACAAGTGCTTGGCTGATGCTGGTAAAGTTTGTTTTATCAAAGGCGCCTTCGATGTCAATGAAGACTCCGAGCGTTGATTGTTTTGGTGATAATCCACGTTCTATTTGTCTGACTACGTTGTGTAATGCGGATTCGGTGGACTTGCCCATGCTGTAGGCGTGTTGGTTTGCATGAAGTGGTACACGCTTTAGAGCATCATCTCTCAAGTTCCTGTCACACATTCTCTCCAGCACCTTTAGGAGGAATGATGTGAGACTTATCGGTCTGAATGCTTTAGGTTGCGTGTAGTCACTTTTGCCTGGTTTGGGTATGAATATAACTTTAACCTCTCTCCACTTGGTGGGTATGTATCGATAGGCAAGACATCCTGTGTATATTCGCAGTAGATGCTCGAGTATCGATTCCTCGCACCATTGCAGTAGGCCCGGAAAGATGCCATCCAGACCAGCTGCTTTAAAAGGGAGGAAGCTTTTGATGGCCCAAGTTAATGTGTTGATTTTAATGATTTTGCGTGCAGTTGTCCAGTCAGCTAAATCCGGAACCGCGGATATCTCATCTTCCCAGTCTTGGTCGTCTCTAGTATTACAGCCTGGGAAGTGAGTATGCATCAGCAGCTCACAGGTTTCAGCGTCGGTTTTTGTGAAAGTATTATCAGCCTTTTTGAGGTAACCCAAATTGCGCTCGGGATCGCTACTTAGTATTTTCCTCACTCTTGCGGCATGATTGTTGTCTTGGATATCGCTACAGAAACGCTTCCAGCATTCAGCCTTTCTGAAGCGGATGCATTTTTTGTAGCGTGACTGTGCCTCCTTGTAGAGGATCCAGTCGTGTTCGAGTCTGGTGTTTTTTGCTCTGTTGAACATCTTTCTTGCCCTACGTCGCAACTTATCCAGTTCAGGACCCCACCAATTGTGTTTGCCTTTGGCTGTTGTGCGTTGCTGTACTAGTGGGCATGATTGTTCATAACAGACGGTTAAAATTGATGTTAGGTTATTCACATGTGTGTCTATTTCCATTGGATTTTTGTAATCCGCTGGCAAGTGGAGACACTTCAGACTGGCCGTGATTAGTGAAGAGAATTTCTTGCGGTCAGTCTTACGTGGAATGCGTCGGGGCTCTGGTGGTTTATTGTTTATATGAAGATAGAACCTAATCCATCTGTGATCCGAGCAAGATGCTTCGTCGGATACATGCCAGTCAGTGATGAATTCAGCAATCCTCTCACTGGTTAGGGTAAGGTCGATTATTGTCTGGGCTCTTGATGTAACAATGTTGATAATTTTTAAGTTTGTTGAGAAAAGGTAGCTAGAAAACTCCTCACCTCTGGTATTGGTGTCGTGGCTGCCCCAAAGTGTGTGATGTGCGTTGGAGTCAGCGGCGATGATAAGCTCCAGTCCCTCTTGCTCACAGTGTGTCACCAGCCTTTCGAACTCCGGTAAGGGGATTTCGGCGTCGCCCGGACAGTAGGCAGACGCTATAATCACCTCGGGGAGGCTAGGTGTATCACTGAGGAGCCTGATAGCAGTCAGGTCCCTGGAACAGAACTCGGTAATTAAAACGGTTTTCACATGTTTTGGAGCAAAGATGCATGTACGTGGTTTACTTACGGTAGTGTCTAGGAGTAGTTTGCCTCCAATGTTGGATAGACCACAGATCCTCTCACCCCTGATCCACGGCTCTTGGATGAGGGCTATGGTCTTGGTGTTTGTCTCCAACACTCGCCGAAGGTTTGCCGTGGCTGTCTGGCTGTGTTGGAGATTGGACTGTATGATGTTAAAGAGAGGGGCTGGGTTGTTGATCGTCATCTTGACTGATCGAACTACCCGCTCTCGCTTCCTCTTCCGTCGCCTTTTCACCCTCTAGCCACCAGTCCATACGTTCAGCACCCTCCTCTTCCATGCTGGATTGACGGGCCGGTGATGGGTTGAAGGCCGATGTTGTCGGTGTCAAGGCCGATGTTTTGTTGGCCATACTCACGCCTTGTCCTACGTTGGCCTCCCTCGGTAGGTTCGGTATGGTGGCCGGTGGTATCTTCTCCGTGGACGGTCGATCGGCTGCCCCCGACGAGAAGCGGACGTAGATAGACCCGAGCTTATAAGCAACGCGTCTATCCCTCGCGAGAAGTTTCGCCACATCATCCTGGGGTATACCCACCAGGATGAACAGCTCCTCCTTCTCCTCCGTCTTCACCGCGTGGTACAGCGCCCATTGATTAATATTGTACCACGGATTCTGGGCGGCCAGCCTCATCCTCAATTGGTCGAGGTTTTCGCCCTTGTACCGTGGCACAATAATGGAGGCCTTCACCCTCTTCGGAATCTCCGATTGACGTTTTACCGTCAATACGGCTCCCGAGATGGGAGACCTGATCTTATTTATTGTTTGGCGCAACCATTCTAGCGAATAGTCGTCCTCGCACCAAAGTTTGAGGACGCCCTCCGACCAGAAGGCTTTGCCACGGAATGCCGGTGAGCGGGATGACATCGTGGACGGTCCATAGATTTGTTCATCCAGAGCCCCCTCGATGTCTTCCTCGATTTTAGAGGCCTGTACCTCAGTCAGGTCCTGAAATGGTTCTGCCATTACTGCGACGCAGAGGTCATTGACCTTCAATGCGTCCGCGTAATTTACAGCTGAACCCTTCGGACCTGTCTTTGGCCTCTTGGTATCCCCTCTGGGCGATATAGTGTCATCGGGACGTCCTCTCTTCGAGGGTATCGAATGGGACTTCTTTGGCCGGTTGTTCCGCGCTTGTCCCGATCGTTTGCCGCGCGGTCGCAACAAATCGTCGCCTTGCTGCTCGTCGTCCGGATTCTTAGGTGCCTTTTCGGCAGGTTTCTCACCAGTTGGCCGGCTGGCGCCAGCCGTACCGGTGGGCTCCTTGCCTACACGGGCGGCGTGAGTCGCAGCGGACTCTTCAGCAGCCTCTGGCTGCTTACTTCCCCCAGTCTCCCTGACACCTGAGCAGCATGGGTCGGCAGTTATAATGTGCGTCATTGAGAGGGTGGGGTGTTGTGTAGAGACTCAGCCGGCGCGGCTGACTAAGGGCGTGTCTCGGTCGCTGTGCCACCTGAGCAGCATGGGTCGGCAGTTATAATGTGCGTCATTGAGAGGGTGGGGTGTTGTGTAGAGACTCAGCCGGCGCGGCTGACTAAGGGCGTGTCTCGGTCGCTGTGCCACCTGAGCAGCATGGGTCGGCAGTTATAATGTGCGTCATTGAGAGGGTGGGGTGTTGTGTAGAGGCTCAGCCGGCGCGGCTGACTAAGGGCGTGTCTCGGTCGCTGTGCCACCTGAGCAGCATGGGTCGGCAGTTATAATGTGCGTCATTGAGAGGGTGGGGTGTTGTGTAGAGACTCAGCCGGCGCGGCTGACTAAGGGCGTGTCTCGGTCGCTGTGCCACCTGAGCAGCATGGGTCGGCAGTTATAATGTGCGTCATTGAGAGGGTGGGGTGTTGTGTAGAGGCTCAGCCGGCGCGGCTGACTAAGGGCGTGTCTCGGTCGCTGTGCCACCTGAGCAGCATGGGTCGGCAGTTATAATGTGCGTCATTGAGAGGGTGGGGTGTTGTGTAGAGACTCAGCCGGCGCGGCTGACTAAGGGCGTGTCTCGGTCGCTGTGCCACCTGAGCAGCATGGGTCGGCAGTTATAATGTGCGTCATTGAGAGGGTGGGGTGTTGTGTAGAGACTCAGCCGGCGCGGCTGACTAAGGGCGTGTCTCGGTCGCTGTGCCACCTGAGCAGCATGGGTCGGCAGTTATAATGTGCGTCATTGAGAGGGTGGGGTGTTGTGTAGAGGCTCAGCCGGCGCGGCTGACTAAGGGCGTGTCTCGGTCGCTGTGCCACCTGAGCAGCATGGGTCGGCAGTTATAATGTGCGTCATTGAGAGGGTGGGGTGTTGTGTAGAGACTCAGCCGGCGCGGCTGACTAAGGGCGTGTCTCGGTCGCTGTGCCACCTGAGCAGCATGGGTCGGCAGTTATAATGTGCGTCATTGAGAGGGTGGGGTGTTGTGTAGAGGCTCAGCCGGCGCGGCTGACTAAGGGCGTGTCTCGGTCGCTGTGCCACCTGAGCAGCATGGGTCGGCAGTTATAATGTGCGTCATTGAGAGGGTGGGGTGTTGTGTAGAGACTCAGCCGGCGCGGCTGACTAAGGGCGTGTCTCGGTCGCTGTGCCACCTGAGCAGCATGGGTCGGCAGTTATAATGTGCGTCATTGAGAGGGTGGGGTGTTGTGTAGAGGCTCAGCCGGCGCGGCTGACTAAGGGCGTGTCTCGGTCGCTGTGCCACCTGAGCAGCATGGGTCGGCAGTTATAATGTGCGTCATTGAGAGGGTGGGGTGTTGTGTAGAGACTCAGCCGGCGCGGCTGACTAAGGGCGTGTCTCGGTCGCTGTGCCACCTGAGCAGCATGGGTCGGCAGTTATAATGTGCGTCATTGAGAGGGTGGGGTGTTGTGTAGAGGCTCAGCCGGCGCGGCTGACTAAGGGCGTGTCTCGGTCGCTGTGCCACCTGAGCAGCATGGGTCGGCAGTTATAATGTGCGTCATTGAGAGGGTGGGGTGTTGTGTAGAGACTCAGCCGGCGCGGCTGACTAAGGGCGTGTCTCGGTCGCTGTGCCACCTGAGCAGCATGGGTCGGCAGTTATAATGTGCGTCATTGAGAGGGTGGGGTGTTGTGTAGAGGCTCAGCCGGCGCGGCTGACTAAGGGCGTGTCTCGGTCGCTGTGCCACCTGAGCAGCATGGGTCGGCAGTTATAATGTGCGTCATTGAGAGGGTGGGGTGTTGTGTAGAGACTCAGCCGGCGCGGCTGACTAAGGGCGTGTCTCGGTCGCTGTGCCACCTGAGCAGCATGGGTCGGCAGTTATAATGTGCGTCATTGAGAGGGTGGGGTGTTGTGTAGAGACTCAGCCGGCGCGGCTGACTAAGGGCGTGTCTCGGTCGCTGTGCCACCTGAGCAGCATGGGTCGGCAGTAATAATGTGCGTCATTGAGAGGGTGGGGTGTTGTGTAGAGACTCAGCCGGCGCGGCTGACTAAGGGCGTGTCTCGGTCGCTGTGCCACCTGAGCAGCATGGGTCGGCAGTAATAATGTGCGTCATTGAGAGGGTGGGGTGTTGTGTAGAGACTCAGCCGGCGCGGCTGACTAAGGGCGTGTCTCGGTCGCTGTGCCACCTGAGCAGCATGGGTCGGCGCTGGCTGACAGCCCCGGCCCGTCCGGCGCCGGCGCCCCCCTTCCGCGGCACGCTCGCCGAACGACTTCACTGCACCGTCTGCTCTGCTAAGGTAAGGCCATGCATGCTTCTAAATAACAATTAGTTATGTGTACAATATGTAACATGTGAATTAGCTTCCGCTGAGGGTTACTATTTAAAAATTTTAAAAGTAATAATAATTGTAAATTTTAATTTTTTACAAAAAGCCGGACATTTGAATAAAAGTCCGGACATTTTAGTCACAAAATGCAAACATCACTCACTTAGTTACAGTGATATTATACGCGTGGTAGCAAACTTTCATCGCCAAGGGGGTCTCGTTGTTGACTTTTAAAGATAAATTATATTTTGTTTTAAATTAATGAGAATTTAATAAAGATTATTTGACTTATTTGATATAACTTAATAAGTACTTTTACTCATATTCCATCTTATAAAAAAAAACCGGACAAAAGGCAAAACGTCAGGACATGTCCGGACAAATCCGGACGGATGGTAACCCTACTTCCGCTTCAATTTCAATAAACGATGTATCTAAAAATATTTTCCTGAAATTTACATATATTTAATTATTCTCAATAAAGAATATGATGCATATAATACAAGGTATTAAAAGCTTATTTTAAATGCAACAGTGATTAAAAAAAAACCTAATAATGATATATCACTGCTTAAACTTATTAAATAAAACTGAAAATTACTGAAATTTATTCATGTCCATATTCTTTGTACACTTTCAAGTTGTGCTTTTTTATGCCTACTTGTTTTCACTATTATTTTGTAACGTGTTAAAAACGTCACATGGATCTCCTTCGCTCGAAGAGCGAGATAGAAGATTTTTTTTGGTTGTCTCTCTGGTCGTTTTTTATCTCGCGCCCATTTTCTTTAATCTGTGCACTTTTGGGTAAGTGTGTTTCTGCCTTTATCAAGCAGTAGGCTGAATGGACATTGTTCTCTTTGCCTACCGCCAAGACAAACTAAGAAAAGAACTGTCACTTCACTTCACGACCAAAATTTTTACGAGGAACATGTGAAATTCTAAATCTTAATTTTTATCATGATAATCCATTGGATTTTCAATTGTTTTTGATGATATAACATTTTGCAGCTTTTGATCGGAATGGCGGATATCGCATTCCAAGCTTAATTTGTTTAAAAAACGCGAAAAGCGTTTTTTTTTTTTATTTTGGATTTTATAATGAACTTTCAACATTTCCCATGATGAGAAAGTGAACAGTCCCGTGATGTAACAGCGACATCCATTTAATATTACAATTGACACCAGACATAGCCACTACACAGATGCAACAAGTTCGGTAACTTTCCAAATTCATTGTTGTACCGGAACCCATAAGGTAAAATTTTCATGTACATTTTAGTAGCCATAGTATATTAAGTAGTTTCTAAATTTAGCAATAACCCTTTTGGACTTAAGTAGTTTTGTAGTAAATTTAAATAAATCGACAACCCAAAATGAATATGGTTTTGCAATCAAGCCTTCTCTTGTGATTAATAGTTCATTGCTTTCCCGGCTAATATGGTTTAATAATATGGTATGGGTCTGGCGCCCGAGTATTCTTTTTTTTCATTAATTTCGACCTATCCATTTAAAGTAAATTTCTCTCAAACTTTTTATTTTTTAATATTACAAATGACGCCAGCGCACAGGGACTTGGTTTATGCAATCCATTTCATTTTGTACCTATAATAGTAGTCTTGTCTGGTTGTTTGTCATCTTTATTATTACATTTGTGATATAATGTAGCTTTTGTACTTGAATTTTGATACATAAACATAGATTTTGTCTGTAATATAATTACAATTTAACTTAATGTTTTGGATGGTTCGTGTTAATATTAACTTTTCATTTAACTACTTGTTTTGAACTTTATTTCATATTTGAAATGTTCTATATACGTCTGTAGTGATGCATCACATGATATTTACTACTTTTGTATGTTAATTTAGTATTTTGCACATGCAAATTTCTTAGAATTTACTTCAACTCATTAACAATTATTTGGTTTCTACCAATTGATGCATATTGCATATAACTTAAACTTTTATTACCTTGTTAACTGTGATCATTGTGTTATTGTTTTGTTATTTACATTTGAATATGCAAATTTACAAAGCTTTTTGCTATATATATATAAAAAATTAGGACTTTTTGTTCGAACGTTTTGATAATTTTTAAAATGTTTTGTGAACATTATTTGAAATTTATACAAGTTTCTTAATGATAAATATAACTGTTCCACAACTTGTTTTGAGCTAGTATATACATTGTTTAAATAAAACATAAACAATAAAGTTTAACTTTTATAAATAATAACATAAACTTAAAATAATTTAACATTCTTTGAAAAAATATAACTAAATATTCTGAAATATTTTCATAACATAATGAAGCATTGTTTATATAATAATAATAATAAACTTAGTCATAATAATATTGTAAAATAACTTTTGATGTTGTTGTAACTTAGATATTTTGACATTTTGTCACAAACTTATTTCAGTTAAGGATAATATGTTTTTATATTAATAATTTTTAAATAATTCAATTCGGTTACATAACTTAAGATTTAAATATCTTTCACCAATTGTAAACTTGCTGCATCTTGCTTTATCTTTTAAAAGATTTAACTTTAAATTTACTTTGCGTTAACTGCGTTTATAATTTCACTGCTATTTTGGCATTTTGCAAAAATGGAAGGTGACAAACTTGCATTAGCTGCTGCCTTGCCGCCTAAGGAGCAACCTGTTTCTGTTGCAACTGATACTAGTGATTTAGCTTATCCACCTGCTACACAGCACATTGCACATGAATTAATTAATTTAACAATTGATCAACCCACTTTGGATGATCATAATTTCCATTCATCACGATTGCTTGATTCACAACCTGCTTTACAACCGACGACCACACATGCTTCACATGTTAGCACTAATTTGTTACAAAATAATACTTCACTTTTGGATAACTTTAAAAAACCTACATATTACAAACGTCCTGATCTTTCGAAGAGTAAGATAATTTTTGACGGTAAGTCTTGTGTTAGAGAATTTATTACTAGTGTTGAAGAGTATATGGTTTCCAGAGATATCGATGAATATTTTGTTGTTACTTCCTTTTCAGATTTTTTAACTGGCATTGCTAGGACATGGTTTCGTATTGTTCGTTCAAATCTTAATTCTTGGTATACCCTTAAGGTTGCATTACTTAAACATTTTGACAAACCTGATTATGATGATCGGCTTGAATATCTTTTGCGTTCTCGTAAACAAAAACCTACTGAAACTTTGTCAGATTTTATCATCGAGTTGCAGGATATGTCTTTGCGTTTTTCGGATCCACTTTCGGAACAAACCTTAATTAAAATTATTAGGCGTAATATGTTGCGTTCTCACGCCGTATATTTTGTTGGCAGGAACATTAGTTCTATTGACCAAATTTTTAGATTAGATAAAGAAATTAAAGAACTTGTTTCGGATAGCTCTTCTGTTCAATCTGTTTCGCGTGCATCTTCTCCTAAAGTTCATTTTGTAGATTCCAAAACTGATAAAAAATTAATTTGTTTAAAATGTAAAAATTTTGGACAGACTTACAAAAAATGTTTAAGCATTCCTGGTCCAATTTGTTTCAATTGTTGTAGGCATGGAGTGACTATTCACACATGTGACTGCAAAAATAAAAAAGTAGACACCAGCGAACCTTTAGCAAACAAAATTAAATTTTCTGAACCAGTTCCAAAAAACTGATTAGGCCTCATCGAGCTCCACTTCATGATGAAGCGAGAAGAGTCTCGATGGAAAATAGTCATGTTCCTGATAAATCAACTTGTAGAAAAGAATTTAATGATTGGCTAGATTATTTAAAAGTAATTTTTAGAAATATTAAAGTAGCTCCAGTACTTTTTGTTAAAAATAGAGATAATAGACCTTACCTTAAATTTAATGTTGGAAATAGTACTTTTACTGGAATTTTGGATAGTGGTGCCAACTGTTGCGTATTAGGTGCTAACAGTCACTTACAATTTTTAGAATTAGGATATAAACTTAAAACAATTTATAGAACCGCTCATACTGTTGACGGATCTTCACAAAATATTATTGGAAGTATGGACTTACCTGTGACTTGTGATGGAGATACTAAAATTATTTCTTTTATGGTTGTACCTTCGTTTGAACCAAATATAATTCTGGGTTTTGATTTCTGGTTAAAATTCGATTTAGCTAAAGATTTATTTAAACATGTTACTTTTGTTGATGAAAGAGATGTTAACGTTTGTTCTGTTACATCTGCTGCTAACTTGTCTCCCTCTGAGAGTGAACAATTAAATAAAGTTGTTGAATTATTTAAAGATATTTCTTATGAAAAGAATGGTTTAGGCCTTACTCATTTAACTGAACATAAAATAGTTACCATTGGCGATCCTATTAAACAACGTTATTACCCTTTGAGTCCTGCTAAGCAGAGAGAGGTTTATAACGAAGTTGAATTGATGTTAAGGGAGGGAATAATACAACCTTCGAAGTCTCCTTGGAGTTCCCCTGTTTTAACTGTTCCTAAGAAGGATGGAGGCATTAGACTTTGTTTAGATTCAAGAAAATTAAATTCAGTAACTGTTAAAGATTCTTATCCTCTTCCTTATACTTCTTATATTTTAGATAACCTTAGAGGAGCTAAGTTTATTAGTGCAATTGATTTATCTAAAGCTTTTTTGCAAATTAAATTAGATCCCGCTTCGCGCGAGAAAACTGCATTTTGTATTCCCGGTAAAGGACTCCTTGAATTTGTCCGAATGCCCTTTGGTCTTTCTAATGCACCTGCTGAACTGCAAAGACTTGTAGATAGATTGTTTGGTCCTGAATTTGATAAGAATACCTTTTGTTATCTTGATGACTTAATCTGCATTTCTGACCAATTTTCGGCCCATTTAGACCTTCTTAAAAAGGTATATAAAGTTTTAAAAGATGCTGGTCTGACAGTAAATCTAAAAAAGTGTGAATTTTGTAAAGAAAGATTACGTTATTTAGGTTATGTAGTTGATAGTAAAGGTTTAC